CGGGACGACTCCGAGGCCGGCCGCCGCGCATACTTCCCCGACATTATGGACGCGCTGAAGTGCCACCAGGACGGAAGATGTCGGCTGGCGACGCACTCCTCCTCAAGTACGTCACGAAATCCTTGTCCAAATTCAGCGATGCGAACTACGACGAGTGGATGAACGATAAGGCGGCCGCAAATTCCATCGCTTGGCGCGTGCTGAAAGAGCACCATCCCTTCGAGCCAGAGATGGTCCTGCAACTGGAGGCAGCGAACTTCCGCCAGTGGGGAGTGGGGACGCAGAGCCGCGGACTGCGACACCTGGTGGCGCCCGACGGGTCCGAGATCACGTCGGAGCTGAAGGCGTACATGAAAAGCAAGTGGCGCCACGATGACATGAGCTTCCTGGAGTTTCTCCGGAAGACTACCCACAAGGGCGCCATCGCCGGTTGGTTGAAGAAGCTGTGGAAGGAGCGCCCAGAGGAACAGATGCACCTGACGGAGACGGAGTTCGCGAACGAGTATACCATGCGCGGTGAGCAACTCGTGGCGGTGGACACTGTCTGGCGCCACAACGATAAGTTCTTCCGCCAGTGGGTCCTACAGCATGTGCCCTTCCGCAAACTGGAGGACCTCGATGTGCCAGAGGTGACGGCAAGGGTGCCGCCGCGCCTGCGTGGACAGGCCTGAGCGCTGAAGCTCTGCGCGGACCAAAGCCGCGTGCCGCCCCACCTGCACAACTTCTGGAACTCCTCAGACCGTATACGCAAGGAGATGAAGGATGAGGCCCACACGGAGGACCACATCGAGGACACTGTGGCGCTGCTGGCTGGACACAGCACCCTGATCGAACAGTTCTGGACGGGCGAACTTGACATGGCGGACGATCCAAGCGCGATATCCGACCCCGTGGCCGCGGCTACCGAGGAGGCGGAGCGCACGCGCAGAGAGGACTCCCTCAAACTCAACGCCCTGCAGGGCGTCTCGAAAGAGAGATCGCAAAGCACGTGACGCTCGCCCTCCGCGCGACTCGGGCCCAGGACGAAACAGAACTGGAGGCAGCTCTGCCTCGATTCGAAAACAACCGACGGCTACATGCACCTGTGCTAGTGACACAGTCCGATGCGTCGGCGATGCGCGGCAGTACTCTGGGAGACACACATTGTCATCAGCGAAGCCGACCCCGGCGCTTCGGCGGTGCATCGGCGCTCTGACGACTGCTCGTACGTCTGCCATGCACGACAGACACAAGCATATGCGTGGCCAGCACTGCGGGGGACGCGCGATGCAACGGCGATGCGGAACTCCCTAGTAGACCCCAACGCAACGCAACTGGTGACCGACGCTGCGGCGATGCATCGGCCGCGGGCCAGCCATTCACTCTTGTGAAGATACGCAGGACGTCCCCGCTGTGTACATGCCCCACGATCTCTTGCATGAAAGCATGCTGCCCGGTGCTGCGTGCTGTCTCTTCCCTTGTGCAATGCAGTATGCCGCGCGACTGCACATCAAGCCGTGCACCGGCTTAGGGTTTCGGGGGTTTCGGGTTTTGGGTTTCGGGGTTCGACTTTCGGGGTTCGAGATTGGAGTTTTGGGCTTCGGGTTTTGGGTTTACCGCTTAGCGCTTAGGGCTTCGGGCTTGACTTCGGGTTTGGGGCTTGCGGATTAAAGTTTCGGGCTTCGGGCTTCTGGCTTAGAGTTTCGGGCTTCGGATTTCGAGCTTCGGGCTTCGGCATCGGGCATAGGCTCTAGGGTTTCGGGCTTTGGTTTTCAGGTTTCGGGCTTCGGGTTTCGGGCTTGCGTTTCGGATGTTCGGGTTTGAAACTAAGGTCTCTCTAGGGCTCGGCGGCGGCCAGGAAAAGGTTCAGCGGAACCCTGTGGAAGACAGAGGCGTTTTTACTCTTGTCACGTGCGCAGCGCACGCTGATCTCACAACGATGCATCAGCGCCCCCTCGGCTTTCTGATGCCACGGGACATGTCACTCTGCAGAAGCCACAGGGTATCATTTCCTGGTGCGAGCACGTATCTCGAACGGGACCGCGCTCATATCGTCCGTAGCCATCGGCTTAAACCACTCAGGGTATCCGTGGCGGCCTGCCTCGATTAACAGTGCCTAGCATGACCCTGGGTGCTCCATGGCCCTCGCGCTTCGATCTGGCTGTAGATTGGGGCAAGATGCATAGTTTCACAATGGAAATGGGCGACGACGGCAAGAGGCGCTACCGCGCTTACAATCGCGAGATGGTGCCTTTGACGGCCTTGCTTCGACCAGTGCCCTTCTGCTTATGAGCGCTGCTGACGCAGCAATCGCAGATGGACCACCTTGATTATTTGGGCCTGACGCGCACGCTGGACGCCGCGGGACTCGGACAGGCCGTGGACCGCGCCATGACTCTCATTTCAATGTACATTCCTTCGGAGCCTGAGCCGGAGCCTCTTGTTTGGTGGCCCATCGGGTGGCACGTGTGAGCAATGCCAACAAACCACTTCCCTCATGGTCGCACTCTCAGGCGCGCCCCTTCATCGAGCCTGCTATGGGGATCTTTACGTCCCGCTATGTAAACCACCACAATCCTATGCAAAGCACGTTGAGGTCGGGCGAACCCTCGAGTGCGCTCGACCCGACCCGACCCGCTTGTTACGGTTCACGCGTGTTTCTGGGACGCACATCACTCACTCAGGCTGACGCCAGCACTCCTTCCCCCCTTGATAGGGGGGAGCGTGGGGGGTAGATCCCTAAACCCTAAAAGCAATGACTCTGGGTGGATGGGGTGGGACAGAACGCATCCATCCATCCCCCCCTACCTCCTGAGGAGGGGGGGATAGGATGGTTCTGCGCAGAAACCCTAAACCCTAAACCCTAAACCCTAAACCCTAAACCCTAAACCCTAAACCCTAAACCCTAAACCCTAAACCCTAAACCCTAAACCCTAAACCCTAAACCCTAAACCCTAAACCCTAAACCCTAAACCCTAAACCCTAAACCCTAAACCCTAAACCCTAAACCCTAAACCCTAAACCCTAAACCCTAAACCCTAAACCCTAAACCCTAAACCCTAAACCCTAAACCCTAATCCCTAAACCCCCTAAACCCTAAACCCTAAACCCTAAACCCTAAACCCTAAACCCTAAACCCTAAACCCTAAACCCTAAACCCTAAACCCTAAACCCTAAACCCTAAACCCTAAACCCTAAACCCTAAACCCTAAACCCTAAACCCTAAACCCTAAACCCTAAACCCTAAACCCTAAACCCTAAACCCTAAACCCTAAACCCTAAACCCTAAACCCTAAACCCTAAACCCTAAACCCTAAACCCTAAACCCTAAACCCTAAACCCTAAACCCTAAACCCTAAACCCTAAACCCTAAACCCTAAACCCTAAACCCTAAACCCTAAACCCTAAACCTAAACCCTAAACCCTAAACCCTAAACCCTAAACCCTAAACCCTAAACCCTAAACCCTAAACCCTAAACCCTAAACCCTAAACCCTAAACCCTAAACCCTAAACCCTAAACCCTAAACCCTAAACCCTAAACCCTAAGCCCTAACCCCTAACCCTAACCCTAAACCCGGGCCCGCCCGCACACCCGCAAAGCTTTCAGAGTCCTGCCCCCGACGGCCCCTACGTCCAACAGTCCGCGCGCTCGGCTCGCTCGCACCGGACCCCTGCGGAAAGGGGTGGGGGGGGGGGGGTTCCGAACCCCCCCCCCCCCTTCAAGGGGGGGGGGGGGGGAGGGGTTCCGAACCCCCCCCCCCCCCTGTCAAAGGGGGGGGGGGAGGGGTTCGAACCCCCCCCCCCCCCCTTAAAGGGGGGGAGGGGGGGGGGGTTTCTCGGAAACCCCCCCCCTTAAGGGGGGGAGGGGGGGGGGGGGGGGGTTCCCTGGAGCACACCCCCCCTTTTGTGTCTTCCAGGTGATCCACTGGCGCTCTTTCATCATCATCATCATCATCATCATCATCATCATCATCATCATCATCATCATCATCATCATCATCATCATCATCATCATCATCATCATCATCATGATCATTGTCATCATCATCATCACCGCCACCATTATCATCAAGGTAATCAGCATAATCACCACCACAACCATCACGATCATCATCATCATCATCATCATCATCATCATCATCATCATCATCATCATCATCATCATCATCATCATCATCATCATCATCATCATCATTATCAGCATCGTCACCATCATCATCATCGTCGTCATCATCATCATGACCATCGTCATCATCATCATCATCACCGCACAATCATCATCATCAGCAGCAGCATCAAGATCAGCATCATCGTCAGCAACATCGTCATCATCATCACCACCATCATCAAGATCATCATCATCATGATAATCATCATTATCATCAGAATCATCATCGTCGTCATCATCATCAGCATCATCATCAGCATCATAATCACCACCATCAGAATCATCGTCATCAACATCAACATCATCATCTATCAGCCAGCGTTGACTCCAAACAGATAGGAGGACAGGAGGAGGACGAGAGGAGGATGGAAGGAGGACGAAAGAGGACGGGAGCAGACCGGGGGGAGGACGGGAGGAGCAAAATCAAGCAAGCGCAAGCAAGCAAGCGCAAGCGAGCAATAACAAGCAAGCAAGAGCCAGCGATCAAGTGCAAGCAAGCAAGGGCAAGCAAGAGCAAGCAAGCGAGAGCAAGCACGCAAGAGCAAGCAAGCAAGGGCCATTGGAAAAGGGGGGGGGCCATTGGAAAAAGAGGGGGGCATTGGAAAAAGGGGGGGGGTCCCAAAGACCAATTGCGTATGATGGGCTAGGACTCATATAGGGCAAGCCTGTTTGGATAATACTCATCAGCATCAGCATCGTCATCATCACTGGAGTAATCAGCATCATCATCATCATCATCATCATCATCATCATCATCAGCATCATCATCATCATCAACATCATCAACATGATTCTCCTCTTTCCCCTTTCCTCGTCCCCGGGGGTGCACCGAATCGGGCGGCACGGGAGCTCCTCCTCGGCTGCACAATTCACTATCACCGGCATAGGGAACCGCTGCATGCTGTCCTGCCGGCCAGCCGCGGCACACTTCCACTCGCACGCGAAAGTCGGGCGTTGGCAGGACTGGATTACATCGGACCTGGTTTAATGATGTGCGCCGCCCCATTCCACTAGGGGGAACGGCCGTCGCCCAAAAAACACAAGCTACGACAGACCTGGCTCAGTGATTGCACAATTTGCAGCTTCGAGCCCGATCACTGACCCGCTCCCCTGACCCGGGGCCCTGGCTATACCCAGCAGCACCTGTTTGAGAGAGAAGGCATGACTGCGCGCACAAGAGCGGCAGCAAGAAGATGGGCGAATTGAAAACCAACGTTTCGGGGGAAACTCGCGGAAGCCTCCCATGTCATCTTACTGCCTCTTCCGAATCGACGCTGATAGACGCAAATGGACGCTAAATCGACGCCAATCGACGCAAAGTCGGCGCTTTCTCATCGATTGCCAGACGCCGGCGCGCGCCAGTGCACCCTGAAGATGGAATGATGAGGGCGCGCAAGGCTCCCATGATCTGCTATGCCGGCAAAAATAGATGGGCGAACTGAAAAACAAAGTGCTGCCGCCAGTTCCAATCGGCCCACACTGTGTTACAAGCAGCTTAGATTTGGATAAAAAACTCAAGACTGGCGGTCCAGAAGAAGTCCACCCCTCTCCCACACAACGGCCGACAACCCCCACAGCGACTAGGCGTTCACAACGTTGCACAAACGCCTAGAAGGCGCACACTCGACATAGGCAAACCAGGCTGGGATGCGAAATTGTTGGATATCGCCACAAGGCTCCGATCCAGGCTCTGTGAACCCAAGATAGTGCAGAAGAGCCCGAATCGCAACCCCACGCAACCCCCACGTGTTCAAGAGATGCGACAATGGCTCCATCGAGTGCTCTTGAAAAAACAACTGCCCGTTGAAATTCGCAGGGAAACATCCCGAACACACACACACACACACACCCTTTCTGGCGGTAGCGGCCTCGCGCTCAGCGACGAGGCGGAGAGACTGCCACAGTCAGCACAGCGCGCGCGGCGGCCGAGCCCTCCACGTGGCTCAGGGTGCTGCCGGCATCGGCCACCTGGGCATCTTAGGGCAGGGAGGGCGCACGCAGGACCGCGGGAGATGAGAGCAGGAGGCCATCACCTGAGCTGCCCAGGCAGGGACGGCAGCATCGTTCAACCTGGAGCCATCGGCGGCTTTCCGACCGTCGGATCGTTCCGTGTTGGCCGATCCTGAGCCACTGGCAGCGCTCAAACCTAGCACGCCCCGGGCCTTCTGAGAGGCTCCCTCTGCCTTCCCCGAAGACGCAGGGAGCCTCTCCGAAGGCTGGAGGGCTTCTGGGAGGCCCCGCCGCCTCCTGAGAAGGCCTTCTCCTTCTCGCTTCTCCCCCCCCTCGCTCGCCGCCGAGGTTGAAGACGTGGAGGGCGCGGCCGCCTCGACCTCCTCCCACGGCGGGGCCGCGATGGCGAGCGCCATCTCTGCTCGGCGGCGTGCGCGCGCCGGCGCGGAGCGCGGCAGGAGCGCGGGCGAGGGAGGGCGAGAGGGGGGGGGCCAGCAGCAGCAGCAGCTACAGTAGGGGCCCGACCACAAGAAACATTCCACAAGAAACCCAGCCCTGAGACCCCAGGACGTCTATAGATTCTTGGTGTGGGAGCACCACGCTTTCCATCGCAAAACCATCGAAACCTAAGAAACCCAGGGCACCCTGGAGGCGAATAAGGTGTTTCTTGGCATGGGTCTCCACTGTAGGGAGAAGCCCTGACCATCGACTCTCTCGGCAGCGAGCGAGGGGGGAAGCGAGAGGGAGAAGGCCTCCTCGGAAGGCGGCGGGGCTTCTCAGAGGCCCTCTGGCCTTCTGGGGAGTTCTCAGCGTCCTCGGGGAGGATTAAGACAGCGTCTCACAAGGCCGGGGACTTCCAAGCCTTCTGAGAAGGCTCGCCCTTCTCACTCCCCCCCTGGGCCTCGCCGCCGAGTCTCTGGTGGTCAGGTGGTTCCCGCCCCGAGGTGAAGGCAGTGTTGTGGTTGTCATCATCACCCTCACCTGTCCACACTAGGCTTATCCTGATCGCTAGCCTTATCACCCTCCACGAAACGTCAATCACTTCCAGAAACCAATCACCTCCCACCTCCCATTTCCCTCCCTAGCCCCCTCCGATGGTTGTTACTGGTATGATCCTCCTCCTCCTCCCTCCCTCCTCCTCCTCCTCCTCCTCCTCCTCCTCCTCCTCATCATCATCTTCCTTTTCCTCCTGCTCCTCCTCATCCTCATCATGCCCTTATCCTCCTCCTCCTCCTCCTCCTCCTCCTCCTCCTCCTCCTCCTCCTCCTCCTCCTCCTCCTCCTCCTCATCCTCATCCTCATCCTTCTCCATCCTCACACTGCCGACGCCTCGCCCTTCTCCTCGCCTCGCTGCTGCTCCGTCCCCTCCTCGCCCTCGGTCAGGGGGGGGGGCCACTGGGGACACATGGAGACAGGGCCCAGATCCCGAGCGGGCCCCGGCTCTCCTCCAGGTCTCGCAGGATCGGCTCCCTCCAGTAGTCGCGGAGGAAGTTCCCCTCGCACCCTCCCTGGCTCCAGCCTTCGCTCCTGTACACAACTCTCCTCCCTGTCGCAAACGTTTTATTGTTCGGCGAACCGACGTTGGGCGGAAGGGGCGGGGGAGGGGGGGGTCTGGCTCCAGACCTCTGCTTCAT